CCTTTGAAGTCCTGCTTAGTCTTGAGTAAAAACAGCTGATGGATTGACAAATTCACAATCACCTGAATGTTGGACCTTCGCACATACAAGCTATCACAATTTCATGGCGTTCGATTGCCGCGAACATTGAATTGACCTTAACAACCTGCCACCGTTGTAAAGGTTACCACGGCAGCTCTAAGAAATGACTTTAGAGCTGCCATGCCAACTCACCTTTTTTGTTTATTTGGCCGTTTCAAATTTGTCATTACAACTGAGCGTTCATTCATCTACTGAGGAAGGTAAAAGCTGTATATATGAAGCAAACTGATTAGAACAGTAAATCAGTTAGAAGCGGAACAATTGGGGGCGATAGTGGGTCGGACTAACAACAGAACTAAGCATCGAGCCCGTCTAAGTCACTTTAAACATCGGTATGTTGGTTGACTTTTGACAACAGTATTCCATATACCGAAGCACTGCCCACATGGAAGCGCCTCAAGCTGGCAAGCGAGCTCAGGGAAAGAGTCAGTGGACGGTAGAACTCGTCAATGACATGATTATATTCTAAATATAACATGCACTTTATACGAATGATAAAGGTTTTGGTCAATGAATGTACGAAAGATAACCTACTTGAAAATTGGCTCAGCTTGTGCATATCTCAGTATTGGCTTTGTTAAATTAATTTGGAGTAAACCATGTCTTTCTTACGAATGGGATGTCGTAGCATCGGCATTTTGAGACGGAATGCTCCAGATTTCGCTGTTTATGATTTGGGAGAAAACTTATCCAGTGAGATTTTTTTTGAGTGTGACAATCCGCTGCTGGAAGCCTGGTTTCCACCAGTTGCAAGCTGACCATTCCACTCTTATCAAGTTTTACTTTTGAATATTGTGCTCAAGATCTTTGCGACAACTCGGTTTACACAACGCCGTGTTGTCAATGAGAGCAACAAAATTTGGTTTGTAATTGTTTTATCATCACATTATAAGCATTACATTCAAAGACGAACACGACGAGCGCGATTGCGGAAGCGACGGCGATTTCTGTAGCCGATACCGTTGCTCTGAAAAAACAAAGTTCTTTGGATTAATTGGTACTCAAAAATCAAACGGGAACTGACCACTATTGGGGTATCACTGGTGGGTCCTCTATAAGTGCTACCTGGAAGAGGTGCGGGGTATGAGGCTGGAAGTGGGGATGTTCCGTAACTGCCTTGGGCAGGTGGTGTATATGAAGATGGAGGCGGAGAAGCATAACTGCCTTGGACTGGTGCGGGTTACGATGCTGGAGGTTGGGAAGTTGCATAACCAGATACAGGAGTGTTGTAAGAAGCTGGAGGTGCCGATGATGCGTAAGGTGGTGGGGATGGAGGAGGAGGTGGCGAAGGAGAAGCGGGAGCTACGAAGGCATCTGAGTTGTATGCTTGCTGGTCTCCGTTCTCGGCGCTAAGTGCAGGAGGTGCAGGTTGAATTAGCTCAGCATTTTCATAGCCTGAACTTTGTTGTTGACCATAGACCGTTACTGTCGCAGCAGCGGCGAAGAAGACTATCAAGGAATGCATCTGAAGACAACTTTGTTGGAAATTTCAGAAAAGGTAAGCGAAGTTCAAAATGCGCATAGGACTAGAAGAGAGATGAGAAGCTTGAGAAAGTTCTGAAAGACAGCAAATGTGTTTGTGAAGTAGTTTTTGCAGGCTTTTTATACTGTGGAGTTTCATTACAGTTTCATTACATATATATGGTTCAGTAACTACTCCGTGACAATTAATTCGCGCAACACCTCGTCAAATACTATGAGGAACCTCGGTGAATGTTACAATTGTCTGACATTCAGTCCGCGATCAAATGAAACTGATTGAGCTGGGCTTGATCAATCACGAAAACCGTATCCGTTATTTTCGGCATCCGTTCCGTTTTTTTTCATTCCTTTCATTTTATTCGTTCTATCGCGAACGAATAAAATGGGGTTTGCACACGACGAGTGTAAAAAAACTGGATGGCTAAATATAGTCTCGAACTATTTTTGGTGACAGCTCAAGTCAGAAGTGTCATTAGCTGGCACCAGGGGGACTTGGCCCCTTTGATTTTGGAGGTTCTTTACAAAGTCCCTTTGACCTATTTCACCCCCCCCCCTTTACTACTTTCCACTCGTCTTTCCTGCTTGCTATCTCCACTCCAGATAAATGATATACGGTCTTTACCATTTATCACACAGAAAACTTATGAATTCTTATCTTTCTCCAACATGATCCGAACTCGCTTTACTTCATGGTCGGAGCCTGAGACCTAGCAGTTCAGCACCTGTACTCTCCCCTCCACATCTTCCTTACTTCCCTTTCTCCTCCTTTCTGCACTCCATGCACTTCTATCCTCCCCTCCCCTGAGATGGTGACAAAAACGTTTAACAAGAAAGGACATAAAGAGATAAGGAGTAGAAAGGCAAGCATTGTCAACACCGAACGTGGTTTGCTTAAAGGGCTTGCTTCGAAAAGCAGATTGTGCCGCCAATGAAAAATGAGAGCTATAACAAAACCTAAAATCGATTATGGAACATTTTTTGCTCTTATGAGAACGTTTACGATGGTACGATATATGTAGAAAACAGTGGTGTACGAGGGGAGCGGCCCAGGGAGGGGGATGGGGGGTCCTCCCCCCGAGAACGGATCGTAAAAATTTTGAAACTTACCTGCTTAAGCTATGAAAATGTGCAAATGACTTGTTCATACTTGTAAATAATTAA